AGCGAGAGAGCGACTGAGAGAGGAACGAGGCGGGAGGAAACCGAAGCCACTGAGCCGGAGAGCAGGACAGGCTTTGGTTGCTTCCTCCCTCCCCTTCTTTCATTTGTGTCCTTGATCCCTGATCCCAGCAGCATTCACCGAAGGCGAAGAAAGCCGCCATTTTTATTTTATTTTTATTTTCTTTGCAGCCCGGTGCAAAGTGATCCACGGACCGGTACCGGTCCGCGGCCCGGTGGTTGGGGACCCCTGCCCTACACCATTTCTGACAGGTGGCAGTCCAATCTCTTCTTGAAAGCCTCCAGGGATGAAGCTCCCACAACTTTTGTTCCATGGGTTGATTGTTCTGTCAGAAAGTTTCTCCTTGTTTTTAGGTTGAATCTCTCCTTGTTCAGTTCCCATCCATTATTCCTTGTCTGGCCTTCGGGTGCCTTGGAGAACAGCTTGACCCCTTCCTCCTCTCTGTGGCAGCCCCTCAAATATTGGAAGACTGCTCTCCTGTCTCCCCAAGTCCTTCTCCTTACTAGACTAGCCAGGTCCAGTTCATGCAACTGTTCATGTTTTAGCTTCTAGTCACTCTTTCCTGCTTTCTCCCCTCCTTTCTCTTCCTCTTTCGTTCTTTCTCTTCCTTCCTTTTTCTTTCTCTCCCTTTTTGTTTTTCTTTCACTTTCTCTCCCTTGTTTCTTTCTCTCCTCCCTTCCTCTTTTTCCTTTTCTTTCTCTCCCTCTCCCTTCAAATATTGGAAGACTGCTATCCTGTCTCCCCTGGTCCTTCTCTTCCCTAGACTAGTTCCTGCAACCATTCATTGTACGTTTCAGCCTCCAGTCCCCTAATCGTCTTGGCTGCTCTTCTCTGCACTCTTTCTAGAGTCTCAACCTCTTTTTTATAGTATGACGACCAAAATTGGATGCAGTACTCTAGGTGTGGTCTTACCAAGGTATTATAGAAGGGTATTAGAAGGAGCAGCCGTAGCCACCAGCCGCAAATAAGAAGGGTGCAGAACCAGGAGTAAAAAATATTTTGAATCCCACCACTGGGTCATTAAGCGTGGTAAACAGTCCCGAGTCCCTTTTTTTTTTTTTTCAGTGCTGCTGTAACTGAACGAACGCTTTGTAAGTCGAGGACTCTCTGAAACTGCAACCAAGTTCCCACCACATACACACACGCACACAGAGACACACAAAGAGACACGCGTGAGCCGGCTTGCCCTGATTTTAAGTTTTATTTCATTTGCTGTGGGTGGCGCCACCGAAAGTCCTGCGTGGCTTCAACCTCGAAGTCCGAAAACCGTGGGGCCCATTCCCTGCCTGCGCTCCCCTACTCCTGGGTTGCAAAGCAGGAAGCGAGTCTCTTTTCAATAGGAAAATATATATATATATATATATGTATGTGTGTGTGTGTGTGTGTGTGTGTGTGTGTATATTCATATATGAATCTAAATGGAAAATAATAATAATATACAGTTAGAAGAGTTACTAGCTGGGGAAACCGCTCCTTGGTCGAAGGAGGATCAGAGCTCTGCGGGATCCAAGGCCAAGAGGTATTAAGTGATGAAGGCAAGTCCAGTTCAGGAGGAAGGCTGACCCCAGCCTGCTTAGGAGATGGCCTTCGCTTCCGGGAGGAAGGCTTCCCAGTATTTAACCAGCTGTGGAGGGGAGAAGGAGGAAAACATCAGAGATCAATTCTCCAGCCGCTCATCGGAAAGATTCCTGGGATCCCACTCCCCTCATCGATCACAAACCTCCTGGTAATCCATGGAAGTGGTGAAGGCACCGGGCTGGAAACGGGAGACGGTGAGTTCTAGTCCAACCCCAGGCATGAAAGCTGGCTGGGCAACTTTGGGCCAATCCGTTCTAGTCCCACCTTAGCCATGAAAGCCAGCTGGGGGAACTTTTGGGCCGATCACCAGGCACAGCTGGGTGACTTTTGGGCCAGTCATCCCCAGTCATTGCAGGCTAGTTCTGCCCACAGCCAGGAGTTTGATCTTGACCAGCTCAAGGTTGACTCAGCCTTCCATCCTTCTGAGGTGGGTAAAATGAGGACCCTTAGAGAGGGCTGGAAAGTGGTAGACTTCTAAGTGCTATTGCTATCTATCTTTCTTCCTTTCTTCCTTTCTTTCTTCCTTCCTTCCTTCCTTCCTTCCTTCCTTCCTTCCTTCCTTCCTTCCTTCCTTCCTTCCTTCCTTCCCTCCCTCCCTCCCTCCCTCCCTCCCTCCCAGTGGTTAGAATGCAATATTGCAGGCTAATTCTGCCAACTGCTATGAGTTCAATTCTCACTAGCTCAAGGTTGACTCAGCCTTCCATCCTTCCAAGGTGGGTAAAATGAGGACCCAAATTGTTGGGGGGCAAAAGACTGACTCTATAAACCACTTAGAGAGGGCTGTAAAGCACTGTAAAGCGGTATATAAGTCTAAGGGCTATTTCTAAGTGCTTAAAATAAAAAAATAAAATAAAATAAAGGCCTACTCACATGAAAGGAAAAGCCCAAACTATATGAGCCTCCAAGGTATGAGGCTGATTTGCTGAGATCTTATATTGCTCCACCTTATCGGGATGACTAAAGCAGATCTAAGTGTGCATCAAGTCCAAGTCCATCTAAGTGTGCATCAATTGCAGGGGACCGAAGGCATCAGTGTAGGGGATGCGATAACTTATTTATAAGCCAAGCGTATAAATAAATTCAGGATATGACGCCACATGCGAAGGGGATGCACAGGGCCGTTCTCTCTCTCACCTGCTGCTGTGACTGGAGCAACGTTTCCAGGTATTTGGTCACGTGTGTCCGGAAATCTTTTGTTTTTTCTTTCTGTAACGGAAACAAAAACACAGACGCAGGTTATCTTCTGTGGAACAGGATACTGCAAACCTCCAGAGGTGGACGATGTATTTTTTTTTTGACTTGGCAATTATATGTCCAAAAGTAAAAAAAAAATTTTTTTTTTTTAAAAAGCAGACAATGGCCAACTACACAACGTTCTGGGGAAGTGCAACTGAACTTTTAGTTTCACGAGGGATATCAAGAAGTCGAAACGGAGGCTGTGACCGGCTAACCTGCATCTTTTAAATGTGAAATGAGTAGGGGGGGGGGGGCTGATGGATACCCTGCTTCCCCGGAAATACGACCTACCCTGAAAGTAAGCCCTAGCTTGATTTTTACATGTGCGCCCAATATAAGCCCTACCCCCAAAAAATAAGCCCTAATTAAGATCCTGCCCACTCCAGAGTGGATGGGTAAAAATTAAGCTAGGGTGGGGACTCAGGGTGGAGCTACCCTACTACTTACCTTTGGACAGTTATAGCCAGGCCTTGCACATCCCAACACCTGCCTTGCTAGCCCGTTTCTTCTGCAGCCAGCAAGGCTGTCAAGGCTTTCCTGAAGGCCTCTGTGGCTGATAAGAAAGCTCTGGATCGATCCAGAGCTGTTATTGGCTGCGGAGGCCTTCAGGAAAGCCTTGCCGGCTGCAGAAGTAGAAGTTCCTGAAGGCCTCTAACAGCGAAAAGGAGGCCGGGACGATGTGCGCAAGTGAGGTTCGTCAGTGGATGGCATCCCCCGAAAATAAGACCTGGTGCCTTTTTTGGTGGCAAATATATATGTGTGTGTGTGTGTGGGAGTGTGTATGTGTATATGTGTATATGTGTATATCTATCTATCTATCTACAGTATCTATCTATCTATCTATCTATCTATCTATCTATCTAT